TAGTGAAAAGTGGGTGTTACATTGTACAGTGGCATTAAGTGCCGAAATGTCGTGGCGTTATGTTATGTTATGCTAAAGAATGCTAAAAGATTATGCAGAAAGACTATCTACTTATAACACGAAAGATTATGAATATTGAATTTCCACAACGAGTTTTCTTTCTGATATCATTTCTAGTTTTACATTTAAATAATTATGTATTTTAGCATTTGTAATGAATAGAGAAATAATGTATCCTTGTGTCATCAGAATCAAAAGTTTCATTCTTGATATAACTCTTATGTAAATCGAACACGAGTTTTTCTATAACAATTCCCAAATAAGTCTTTGAGATATAAAATTCATTGTTCCTTCAGGTATATAAATACGTAAATCTTCCTATAAGTCTCATAGGTAAATAAATCCACATTCTGTTTAGTTTTTATAAACTATGCGAACTTTTTATACGTCTGCGAGAAATGACGTTATTTACAAAACATAAGAGGTGTGTCGGTACTATAAATGAATTTGCGTATTTCTGATTGGATGCGAGGTGAAACATTCAAGTGGCGAAGTGACGACAATTGATTCTGACGAGACGTTCAACAAACGTGACCTTGAGTAGGGTGCCCATGCCAGAAAATTTCAATAGACTGTCTCTTCTTTAAATTTCAGTTGGTTGATTGTTTTGACATAATTTAGAGGAAATTCGTTGATTTGATTGATCGTCGACTCTGTAATGGAGACAAATGTGACAAATATCGATGTAAAATATTATATATTCAGAAAATAGTTTTATATTTTATTTAACCTAATTATTTTTATTAACTTAATTTTTCTTCAATGTTACGATACGAACTGTTATTGTTGTTATATTTTTTTTTGGTCTCGACTTAAATAAATTAATTCCAAGAATATTCTAGACTGAAGTTAGCAAGGCCTAAGCTAGGGCCGCTGAAAACCAGGGGCGCTATTACAGTGGCTGTCATTGTTCCGTGTCGGGCAAGGCCGGCTGATGTAATAAACGCGCTCATTGCACCAGACGCGCCGGTCAATGACCTTGCGACCGGCACGGTCTATCGTAAATGGAAATTATGGTGAACATCGCGAATGTTAATGAGTAAGAGAGTCTGACTTGATAATGCTTATTGTATATTTTGCGTGTAATTGACTACTTGACTAGTGATTTCATGGTAGTCATGGCCATGGGATTTGCTGGTCGGGTTAAGGTTAATGACTCATCTTAATTTGGTTACATAATTAGGTTTTTCACTTCTTATCGATAACTTTCTAGTGTACTTGGTTTTGTAGTGCGTGCCTATATAACTATAGCGACATATGACAGCTCACGCGCATAGGCCATCGATGAAAACAAATCAAGTGATGACGTCACAAAAATCTTATATCGCACATGTGAAGTTTACTTTCGAATTAACACGGATAGAAAATCCCAACGTACTACTGACTGTGGGGCAGAAAGCCCGCCAGCCACGAACAACTCGCCTTGTCGGAGGATCCTCCTTTATCGATCTTATGGAATAGGGAATTCTACTTATTGTTGCCTATACAACTTCTTGGCATATTCTGATATCGCAACTCATTTTCACTATATTTTGAGAACGATGCTTAACTTTCTAAGAAATTATTTTCATAATTGTGCATGTGAATTCCATTCCATCTTGAGCATCATCAATAGCCTATAGCTGGCCAATGCTGACCAAAAGCCTCTTCTCGCACGGAGAAGGTTTGAGCATTAATTACTACGCTTGCTTAATGCGAGTTGGCGATTTCAAACTTATAATTAGAAATTATAAAGTCCAGGTTTCCTCACGATGTTTCCATGATGATATGGAAAAAAGCTTAACATACCTCTTTATCTCCTCGCAGCTTGTTTAACCACACCACAGATCTCCATGTCATATCACAAAAACATTATCCCGGTTACAAAAGACGGAACCAAGTAAGGTCAAATTCAGTTATTTTCTATGAACTTTTAATCACTTGTAATGTACGAACTAAATTCGCAACTCACTTTTACGTCACCTTGAGAAACTGCCGACACAATCATAATCTTTTTCGGAAGTAAATATTTATCTGCAAGATCGGACTCAGTCTGCAATTCTCATAACTACCCAACCCACTTAGTACGGAACTAAAAGTAGGAAGCGATATACGGAAAGACCTAATGATATCTTTATATGCGTATGTATAAAAATATATTGTCTTGTCATCAGAGCAAACCGTCGACCACACGTTTAAAAATCAGATCGTAAAAGAACCTTAACACTATTGTAATTAGGGTGATATTTTAATAGTAAATGGGTGGACTGTATGTATCAGGTAAATAAATAAATAGTAGGTACGATCAATCACGCAAATAACGTTAGTTTGTATAAATTATTATTTATTTATAAGTTCTAACAAGTATATTAATAAATTCTACATAAGGCTTTATGTAGGCTGGTTTGAGCTGTAATTGATAGTATTGCTTTGCTTCTTATAAATTCCAGTGGTCGAGAAATCCCGTAGACATAGTAAACTTAGCTATAAACTTTATTCAATTTATTCTATGCCAATCTAGTTCAAGTTCGTATCGTAAATTCCTTTGTGACGTGATTTTCTATAAAAGGGTGTTTGAAGCAACTTATGGATTAAACTGACTTGCCGGAAGCCGAGCACACCATCGAATTCGATTCTCCATTGTATATTTTTAGTTCTGAAAGTCAAAGTCAAAGTCAAAATCATTTATTTCAATTAGGCCAGAATGGCACTTTTGAACGTCAACAAAAAAAATAATAAGAAGTGAAACTATTTGCTCATTCCAAGGTGTAGATTCCTATGGAGAAGAACGAGCAAGAAACTCCATAGGTTACTCTTTTTCAATCAGGTTCACAATACAATTTACTAGTTACATAGTTTTGCTGAATTTAGTAGGACCCAACCGACGACCCGAAAAAAATCTGATCCGACCTTGACTAACAAGATAGACAATAAATTAATTTAATTCGTTCAAAAAAGGCCAATTACAATGCAATATAAATCAAACACACTTAACAGATAGTAAATGCGTTGTTTAATTAAAATTCCTAACCCTTGGAGGCCGGAGGAAACAATTGAAAGTGTTGAACTGCTGATGTAATGAATTAACCCGTTACAGCAGACAGTTGAATGTATCAATGTAATAGGCGGGTCAAATGTACCATTGCTCCGTTAGACATTATTGATAGATATGTTCTACGACAGACGCGAAGGCTGTTCCGTTGACCTGAGGGTGATTTGTAAATGAGTATTTATTTACATACGTGCGCTCGTGACATGCCGTGATTTTAGTTGTTTTTTTTTTTTGCATAAGTTGTCTGTCTAGTTTGATCATGTTAAATGCTACTGACTGGTGACTGGTGGTAATTCGTATTATAATCTGACCGCATAATAATATCACGGCATATCATTATACTACAAACCGAAATACCGAGAACCGAAGCTGATACATACACGTGCTCCGATAATTACGTAGAGCAATTTTTATTATTTCCACCAAACTCACAAAAATGTGCCCTGTATACGAATATGAGCTTAATATAGTCCAGCATTTATTCACACGCCCAGTCCCATTTCATGGGTATGCGCTCAAATAACATACATACAAAACAAAGCTTATTATGTCTCTACGTATAGTTTGTTATATAACAACAATAATAATTATGGTCATTATATGATAGTCATGAACATGAACAATATGAACATAGTGAAGCTCAAGGCCTTCAAATGGCCACGTTTTTCTACTAGGTAAAGGTTGTAGTCACACTATGACTACAAATTGATGATCTACTTGATTTATGTTTTTTTATGGTATTTGTATCGTTTATCACAAATTCTGATTTGTACGAGTTTGTTCTACGTTTAAAGTACGTGTAATTACTACGTGTAATTACTAATGTTTTACTAAATAAATATATCTTTATATCTTTAAGTAATCGTAACGTGTACGCGTTCGGCGGTCTGATTGGTTGGGTCATTGGCGCGCGCCAATCAGAGTACCGAACGCGTACTCGTTACGAATACTTTAAACGTAAATGAAATTCGTACTAAGGTGTCTGTTCTCGTCTTGGTGTGTACGGCAAAGTTTTTAGAAAAAACTCACGATACAGGCGAAAAGTCTGGTTTAAAAACATCTCACATAAGAAAATTTCATTCTATGTATGTGATACCCAAATACTGAAAGGTAATTGAGCCGTGCCATCTCTGTAGTTTTATAAAGAATTTGTAGTGATAGAACTATACCTAAGCGCGTCTTAAAACTGAGTACCGTTTCAGTATTCGGGCATAAGTCAGCAAAGATTAGTATTTCTAATTGGGTAGTTTTCAGGGTATCAAAATTAAAAATCTAATTAGTCCATCGGTTAGATAATGAAAAAATATTAGACACATATAAAAATATTTTCTCATATTAAGTTGCAATACTTAGATTAAAAGGCGCTAAGTTTAGGAGTGGAAGGTCGTTACGTCAGAACGTGCTACAAAATGTGACACGCTGTGGCGTCACACGATATTTCAAATTAATATATCGTCGAAAGTATTGAATTTTGTGAGCAAAGAAAAAATACGTGTCTAAAGTTTTAAACTAATGTACCAGACGGACATTAAAATAATATTTTGGGAAACTACCCTATTCTGTAGCCAAGGTATGCAAGGTATGCTGGTATGCCGAATAAACATTGACAGAGGCATTAACGAGTAAAGCTCGAGATATGAAATATAGAAAGTTTACAAAGGTTCAACAAATAAAACTGCGAATATCAGTCATCATTATCATTTAATGAATCTGTTATTTACAAAAGATTTCGGTGGACATTGTCAACAATAAGCTTCTTTGCATCATGTACCTTTAGCGCAAGCCAGCGTGCGCTAGGCTCCATTGAATTAACATCGTTTTTATTTAGGTAATTAACATTTTAACTGAATGTAGTTCGAATCTCGACTTACAATTTTTAGTAGAGCAATGCTTAGATTTAAATACCTAACATTGTTTTTTCTATTTATAGTAATATAAGAAACCAAAATGTAATATACAAACATTTGATTCTGTGTAAGTATAAGAATTGTTAAAACAACTTTTAGTAGGATAGACTCGTCAGAAGAGAATGGAGAAGACAGTATACTGACCCTGATTAACTTGGGAGAAGGCCAAGAAGAAGATAAGTATTCTTTGAAGCTCCATATTGTCAAATATAATGTGGAGTAGAGCCATGATAGCTAAAATGACTTGTTTTTGTGACTTAAATCTGTTCTCTTTGTACAAATTGAGCTGATGAGAATGGTAATAAATAATGCAAGATAAAAGAAAAAAAAAGAGCAATTCTGACTCCAAAAATATGAAGTTACTGTCACCATATTAGTTTTATATTACACGATAATAAACATGCCTAAGGCAAAGTACTACTTAAAAACACGATATAATACTACACACAGTTAAAATGCTAACTACAAAATACATCGACTGAGCTGTTTACACACACGAGTCAAAATAAAACTATTATACCGATTTCATCATTTAATTATTCATAATTTAATGCATGCGCTCATCAAAACATATCAAACGAATACATAATCACATGTTAAACTAATAGGTAAACAGCTCAATAACACGTCACGTGAATAAACAATACTTTGAGCCAATACTGAATAAAAATGTTATTAAACAATATAAAGACATTCACTTAGAATGACACCATATGTATAATGTGCTTCTCCGTTCAAGTTAATACATAAAAATCGCCTCTAAAAATAATCATGAGATATTACAAGTTCATGATTGTATTCACGGTCGTAGAAATTAGACCAAAATATGTAATCAACAGAGTTGGTTTTGCTTTGTCATATTACGACCAACTATAAACTCTTCGGTTACATCGATACTCCGGTTATCTCCATTCGACACCTAAATAATTTTTAATCTTAAAAACATAATAACACTTTTGGTTTTTACATAAAGCTATATAACAACAGTAACATTAATTCATATTTTTTCTGAATATTTCTTAATACGTTCTATACACTTTGTAACGTCATATCAGATTACATTATCTTATAAAAGAAACTTCATTAAAATTATCATTTACTTATAGGCATACAATACAGGTTGTTAAAAAAAGAAATATAATATTCTCAATATTTTTTTTCACTTTTATCACATAATACCATCTCCTAACATCTAATTCCTTTCACGTTCCTAATGATAGAGTACACCTAACGCTTAAAGCTAAATTATGCAGTTTATTGACAGAAAAAATATCTATGACAAAAATATATATCCTATAGTTCAGATATATACATACTAATGTGGCAAGTACATAAGCCTATGACGACACCTAACAGTCGAGTGTTTGGTATTGAGTTAGATGCTCGTACAAATTGACTGCGTTACATTCCCTCACTTCTATGTAAACTCACTTAATATTAGCAGATTTACACAAGTACTTGTTCGACACAATGGCACCACAGGAGTTCTATACAATGTCAAAGATTTAGTGGGAGAGGTCACTATGCGCATTGTACTTTATAAAATAACTGTACGCAAATGACGATTAAGATCTGCTTCATACATTTCTCTCGTCGTTGAGTCGTATAGAAAAAAGCCAAGCTCGAAAAGTTAACATATTCTAGCAAGTTTAAAGGCAAAATGCTACATTAAAACGATGTACACACACTATAAAATATGTTAATAGGGTTTAATCGTATAAATTGATAGTCCCTTGCCTCATTTCAAAATTCATACCATACCAAGAAGGAGACATATTGAAAACCGGCGATACCTAACTGTAAAATAAGACCATATTCATACTATAAGGGTTAATTTCGTCTATCCATAAACACGAACTATAGGTCGAAGGCTACTCATAGCTACTCTAATAAAATGTTTGAAGTAACTATAGTACATTTTCGTGTACATGGATGACCCCTTAAAATATGAACACTTCTATTATACATCCTACTACTGTCAGTACATTCATCAACAGTCGACGAAAGAGTCCTAACATTAAGCCACTTCATACCAACGGGACATAAAATTTGATTCACTAAGTACCCGACGCCTAACCGCAACTTATATTTACATCTGTGCATCTATTTACATTGTTATATTTGTATAAATCGATTTAAAACTTTTGTCAATGAAAACATGAATAAATTTAGACCTCTTTATATAATCTTATTGTCCGTTTCGAAATAAATCAATCCAGTATGATATGATTGTATAGAAGGTGAGAATAGTGCCTACATATCTATGTATCTTTCTATATCTTCTAAGTACTTAATAGCCTATAAGTACTAACATTATTGCTAATGACAATTATGGACATTTTTAGTTTCTGATCACAAAAACTGCAGTTTGAGTATTAGTTACACATGAATGTTTAAACATCGCTTGTTGACGTAGCACCACGACACATATATGGCACATTGGAATACAGAACCTCAGATATCCCTTCTATTTTTCGAAATGCAAAGCGAATATACATAGACGCTTTATTGCTTGCAGTCAATTCCAGTTATTATTTATGTCATTAACTTATGGTAACTTCGTATAAATCTTCGCATTTATGTTTCATAATATTTACTTTAACAAAATGAGTTATTTTCTAATATTAACTTAATATTTAATAGCACTGTACATTACTGTTAGAAAATAATTCATTTCGTTGGCTCCATTCTGTGTCGTACATATACGACCAAATAATAAATACCTAATGGATTTCAAGAAACCTTATCACAGCATCTCCAATGTATTGAGATCGTATTGTTTTAGTAATTGGAGAATAAAAAGGGTTCGTGAAATCTAATTGTATATCAAATCACCTATATTTTCGTTATACGCCCAATATTTGGAGGTAGAATACCGTCGGCTAATCGGTATTAACGTAGCATCAATTTGGCGATATCAAATCGACCTACAAATCGATAATTTCGAATAATCAGTACACAAGCGTACTGGTCGATAGGAAGACAAAGTATAATTTAATGAAAAGTAAAGTAAGTACTACGTTTCCAAATTAAATACATCAGAGATCGTTGATGAAAAAATGAAAAATAATGTTTTTTTTTTCTCACCCAATCAGCCGACTACTCTTCATAACAGTTCATCTTATAAGATTATTTGTTTCCTGATCTACTGGTCAAAGTAGACTTTATAACCACCGTTGTAGATGTCAATTTTGAATACCCTCTGATAAACGCTAAAGTTATTAAGGTAACCGTTATTTGTTAACTCGATAACTTTCTTTAGCATCAACTACTCAACACGAACGAACACAACGAACAAAATATTGCACTATTTTCAAGTGATATTGATACAAAAATGCAGGTTTACTATCTAAATTTCATTTTGTGACTTATAAATCAGACACGCCAAACGATTATCACAAGAGAGTTTATCAGTAACATTTTGTACTCTATTAATATTTGCTAATAGGACACTTATAGAAACAGTCTTTGAATAATAGTGCAATATTTTTCCTCTAGCCAAGCGTGGGGAGTATTACAATACCCCTTCCCCCCTTTAAAGGAAGGCGTTCAGTACTGGACTTTCGTGATGATCAGAGGGTAAGCTCAAACATTACAAAATCCAATCAAACGGTGTAATTGTGTGTTCTAAAAATTAATACTCGATCTCAATCGAAAACCTCTAGATCAATTTTGACAAAAACTCCATATACAAGTGATATCAGAAATTGATCTTAATAAACAGATTTTAGAATGAGATTGGTTATTAATTTCGGGTATGAGTGGTTTAAAGGTTTAGAGTACACTTTCTCTTTGGGGGGTTGGTTGGTCGGGGGATGGGGGATCGGAGGGAGATGCCGCAGTGCGGACTATGGCGGGGGGACGTTGTGCCAGCGCGGCACCCATCGTGATGGGAGTGTCATCCTCGTCCTCCTCCTCACCTTCTTCCAAATCCTCGTCAATAGGGGTCAACACGTCCATCGGTTGTTGGACTTCTTCTTGTTTTCTGAAACATTAAGTGTTATATTGTTTAATGTTATGTTTTTAAATAGGTGATGCGCTAACGTTTTGTGAATTTTCTTCTTACTTCAAGCAACAAGTACCTACTATTTTAATTTTTGAAAGAAACTTTTAATATATTGTACGAAGAGACACCAAATAACTTTTAGCATGTTTTTCACTTCATCTTTAAGCATACTTATCGTTTCGAGAGATTTATGGTATACTATACTCGTTTAGATTTCCGTTACTTTTACACCTTAAGTTGCAACTTTATTTCCCACATAATGAAATAATTATTATTATTTTATTATTATTTCATTATATAATGAAATAATTATTATTATTTCATTATGTGGTTGTTATAGTTATTTCCTTCTATTTACAGTTAATATCTTTAAAATAAAATCTTACCTGCGGAACAAAGGCGCAGCGAAAGACGTGAGTGTACTAGCTAAAAAGAATGCGGCGGCCATGTAGAAGGATGCATCATAATTCTTAGTAGCGTCGTACACGGCGCCGGCCAGGGGGGAACCTATCATGGCGGCCGCGCCACGGAACAAGATCAGAAGACCGAAGGCATTCGTTAACTTGTCCAGACCCAGTAAGTCTACTAGAATGATCGATGTCAGAGAGATGTAGCCAGCTGGAAAAGTAGATATCATTGGTTAAATAACCGTAAATAAAATAACTAATTTCCTTACTAAAAAATTTGACGTTTTGTGTAAGCATCTTAGGGCTTCATTTACAGGACTGCCTGCTAAATGTAGTGGTAAAAGAAAAACTAGATCGATGACACTGTTTCACCCACATAATATTTGTCAAGACACGTTTAAATTATCGCAAAGTAATATATATGGAAACAAAGCGTTTAATTCTAGAAACAGAAAATTTCGAAAAGTATTTACGTCAGATTATAGGAAAATAATTTAAAAACAATCATTGTTTATACCTAATTAGGAAATTAAAATACTTACAAATGGCGATACCGAAGGCGATAGCAATAGCGACGTACGTGGCGTACGTGGTGCAGAAAGGTGTCAGTCCAACTGATATCTGGAACATAATTACACGCATATTTGATTGATTTACCTTCAAAATTATTTATATGGGTATGTGAGAAGTTTATTGACATTTCACACGACATGATTTTTTTTTAAGGGTGAATATCATCGAATTTCTACTCCCGCCTGGGTGAAGCGGGAGGAAGTGTCAGATTCTTACTGACTAAAAACCACCCCGTTCCTTCTCCTGCACTTCGAGTCGGAGCCCCGGCAATCCTGCGGGGCTCCGTATCGGCTTCAGCCCTATTGCGCCCCATCCGTGGTGGTCTGATATTCTTTGAGGCGCGCGCAGAACACAAGATAAGTTGGCTCCAACAAATTAAAATTATTTTTAAGGCTATCGATGTCACATAACAGTTAAAATAAGAAAAAGATATTCTTATTTAAATAATAAATTATTTTTACATCTTTCAATGGAGATATTTCAGTGAATATCTATTACACATAGTTTGTATAACTCTTGATTCATGAAATGTTTTCATGATCCTTTTTAGGATTCCCAGAATAATGTGGTCTTTATTAATTGTACAAGTAACTCACCGTGGCGATAACAAGGCAGACATTATTGAGCAACAGCGAGTCCATCCAGGGGAAGTCGGCCACCCAGCCACACGCGATACGACCGATCGTGTTCGTTATACCAATGATTGACAACAGGAACGACGCTTGAGACGGTTCTACACCCTGGAAAATATATAAAAACATATTTTAAGATTTGCGCTTCATGGATTTTTAAAAAGTAGAAAGGTATTAAGAAAAATGACGTGACGAAGAGCTGATACTTATTAACGTGTTTATTTTATACAGACTGCATCGTTGACCGAGTGGTCGCAAGTGCGACTGCCGGGCAAGGGGTCTCGGGTTAGATTCCCGGGTCGGGCAAAGTATCATAGTATTTTTTAAAAAAAATCTTAGTAGTAGCACGGAGTCTGGAAATGTGCACGGTATATGGCAATAGGCTCACCCCCTATTACACGGGACTCATAACATAAATAGTGAAAAGTGGGTGTTACTTCTGTGTGCCTCTGCCAACCCCTTCGGGGATAAAAGGCGTGATGTTATGTATTTTATACAGATACAAAGATGAGTTTGGAAAACCAATTGCTTAAAATGTCGTTGATTGAATGATCTCAATTGTATTGTAATTGACGAACGTGGCTAAAATATATAAATGAAAAAGGTGAAAAATACTTAAATGAAGTTGGTCATATAATCAATTAATGAAAGTGTGATTGATGAAATGATGATTCATTTATTTTTGATTAAGGAATAAGGAAGGAAAGTACTCAATTGACAGACAAAATACAGTACAGAAAAGTGCTATTAACGCGGCTAAACGCTAACTTTGTGGTTGGTTACAAAACACTACTTTATTTGACTAAAGTATGGACAAAAATTATCTCTGTGTAAACTGTAGACTGAAACTCTAAAAACAATACTTACACTAAGCCGGGCAGCATCGACGATGTACACGAAAGGTACGTAGAGCCCCGCCATGCCGAATATATTGGAGACTCCAATCAACATGAAGGCAGGGTCGCGGAGTAAGCTGACGTCCAACATTGATGATAGAGCCGATTTGAATGAGTCAGGAAGCGATAGGCAGGGGCATAGATCGTATTCTAAAAATTACAGAAAAAAACATTAGACTTATTATTCAAATATTTAGAAAAAATGTTAGCTGTGCCTATACTTTCTTTAATCTGATTATTTCACATTATCTTATTCTTATTTTAATTGTTCTTTCTAGAGGTAATTGAAAAGAGGGCCAAGTTACAATCAAATTCGGTCAACTTTCGTTTATTCAAACCCTGCGATAACACTTAACCCTAGAACATATGTATATTACACATGTAATTAATTTATTCTATAACTTACATTTACATGCCTTATAGAGGCAGAGTGTGCAAGCACATGACCTATTCTATGCAAATATTCTATGGTGTCTTGACACGAGTCCAAGTGTGTCAGCGATGAACTCAACCTACTGCCATAGTCATAATAATTACAAATTATGTAGTTATCTTAATAAAATAGTAATTTAGCATTAGAATAATGCAATGATTTATCATATTTCTATATCTTATCTGTGATCAGAAACCACAGATTATAAAAAGATCCAAAGTACACTTACGTTCTTGTCTCTCCAAGTCCCCAGTTTGCCTACTCTGCGGTAGACTTAATACAGAGTTCCTATATCCTTGCAGGGACTTCTGGCTTTGGTACTGAGGTAGATTAAGCACAGATCCTGAATAGAAGATATCTTTCCTAGACATTGGGCGAACCATGCGAGAAGGCTCCTTAGGACCAGACACCGAGAGTTTAGAGTTGTACATCATGCTTTCTGTGTCACCCTGAAATAGAAAAAATGGGTATAGTATATGTAGACATAATTATTACTATTACCGAGCTTAGAGTGGTCACTGGTGACCGCTCTCCACTTCCATTATAGACCTTATTTCCGATGTTTAGTAACTACTTTTGTATGAACCAATTTTGGGGATTTTCAGTACGATATATCAAGTGATTAAGGAGTATCTATTTGGTTGCTTTCTGGTTAAAGCGAAAATTGGGAGTTTCTAGTTGCTGATAAAGTGGCACCACTGTGTATACCTTTATTATAGAGTGTTTTATATTGTCTTTTATTTGCATTAATTAACATGACCTTATTGACATCATTAGAGGATTGTATTTTTTTTTAAGGGGGGAAAATCATCGAATGACTGCTCCCGCCTGGGTGAGGCGGGAGGGAGTGTCAGACTCTTACTGACTAAAAACCACCCCGTTCCTTCTCCTGCACGTCGAGCCGGAGCCCCGGTTACCCGTTAGGTTCTCCGCGACTCCGAATCGGCATCGGCCGTATTGGGCCCCATCTGTGGTGGTCTGATGGCTCTTTGAGGCGCACGCGGAACGCTCGGGGCCGTACGCTCGGGTCTGTTTCTGGTCGGACGGGGAGCCACCCATGCTCGCCGTCCGCAGGCCCGCGCTTACGGTGACCGGAGATCGTTAGAGGATTGTGTAAGGTTTTATAAAACGAATTTTAAGTGCAACAATAATTTAAAAAAGGAAGTATTGAAAACTTTAATGAAAGAGTCAGATCGTAATATAGACCAGATAATTTTACAGTTACGACATGTTTTAATTATCCTTCTTATTTCTTTTGATCATAAATATTCATTTTAATGCATTTGATTTTATTGCAGAACTATTTATAAGGAAGATATATAGTTTTGGAAGACACTTATGTCCCTGACCGTGTCATAAGTAATGGCACATTGTTTATACATGTAGTAGCCTTGTTGGCTTCGTAGTTTAGTCTTCGCGTATAAAAGTACAGTAATAGATGTTTTTGTAGTGACGATTGATAGTAAAATTTAATATGATTGCGGTATTCTCTAGATTTGTAGGAATCTTTATTATTTGAACCAAATAACATAACATAACATCACGCCTTTTATCCCCGAAGGAGTAGGCAGAGGTGCAAATTATGCCACTGTACAATACAACATCCACTTTTCACTATTGGTGTTATAAGTCCCTTGTAATAGGGGGTGAGCCTATTGCCATATACCGGGCACAATTCCGGACTCCGTGCTACTACTGGGGATTTTTTTAAAACCCAGTAATAGTTTGCCCGACCCGGGAATCGAACCCGAGACTCCTTGCCCACTCGGCTAACGAGGCAGTCCAACCAAATAATTGATAAAAATGATGAACTAAGGGTTTTTGTCTATAATAGGATTAGTCATCCTCCATCCAGTCAACTAAAACAATACAAACCATAAGACATCGGACTAATGCAAAGGTAGCAAATCTTTAATATTACTATTTTCTAGTAAACTCTAAAATTTTTTCATCGGTACCTCATGACATAACCTAATAGTTTCATAACCCAAGTTTTGTTTTCCTCTAAATATCAGTCACTAGCTCAAATTCAAAGTTAAAATGTTCTAAAAAAAGTCTAGAATGATTGACGACATGTATATTCGAGTAAACTAATGACATCTATATTCGAAGTTTTCTTTATATACACAAAGACTGGCACATATTTTGAACTCTATTGCCGGAGTATAAGATTGAAAATGTTTCAAAGAAAATTGGCAGAAAGGTGTAGTTTGATCTGCGGTATTCGTACACAGGAACAGTTTCCTTGGATGTTTGCCAGTCGACTATTTGGCAGACAATTACAAAAGTTCAAGGTCACGTGTATTGAGGAACACATTATTATCACATGTCAGTATTATGACCATATGTACGCCCTTGACAACAATTCCGTTGTCATATCTGAACCAGGTCAATTGGTTTGAACTAAATACAATTTCAACACCGACATATTTAGTTGGAATTGTTTAAGTGTTTACATGAATTAGTTGTGATTAGTGTCTGTGTTTTAAACAAAGTACTTTCGTTGTTTAGTTGAAATTACCTTACAAAGTCAAACTCAAAAGCATTTATTTCAATTAAACCATAATTTGGTACTTTTGGAACGTTAATAAATAAATAATAGTCTGTCAGTCTGTCCGTCAGTGAAGCTAGGCACTCGTTACAAAATGTAGAAGAACGAGTAAGACACTCTATTCGTTACTCTTTTAAAAAAAAGTCTGTTTTACAATGTCTCTGATACATATTCCAATATTGTACATATATATGTACGTGAGAACAATGTAAAGACACGTTTGACGCATAATATAAATTACAATTCAGTTTCAGATTTGGTATTACAAAGCGAACTACCTACATATATTTGATGGGCTGACGTTAGGCTACCAGCTCGCCTGGCGGTAAGATGATGCGGTCTACGATGGAGCACGTCAGCCCATAAGCAACCTATTTACTCGGCTTTGAATTACTTATACTTATCGGTTCTAAGACTACTTTGACCAACGCAGCAAGAGGGAGAAACAGTCTCTTCTCTGTAGATGAGCTTTAGGATTATTTGTCTGTATAATAATGACATAATAGAAGGCTGAAAAGCCGACTTGTTCATTATTATGTATCATTTTTGTGGTCTTGTACCCTTTTTCGCAAAGAAACAATGAAGTCGGCGTCTATTATACCTAGTAATGTTTATGTATGTAGTAATTAAGTTCATGCGAATAACTTACATCTGCATTCCTGTATTGACTGTTCATTGAAGTTTTGGACGTAGCTTTGATAGCAGCCAGGGACGGTTTGAATCTGAAATTACAAACAAATCATAATTAGTACTTATTAATTTTGTCACGATCCACAAAGGGAAAACCGAAAATCATTTTGGACTGTGTGATGTTTAAAAATACTGTCCATATAAGGCATAAGGGAATCGAATTCAGGACCTTGACTCGATTCCTATATCAGTATACTTCATTAAAAGTCATAATTGACAACAAAATAAATTAATTTCTCATCGACACACACACACACACACACACACGTACATGCATTACACTAACTTACATCTAGTTGTCACCAATTTCTAGTAATTTCCTACATGAACAAAACATACAATATTATTATGTAACAAACCAATTAACAGAAACACTCATTACAATAAACATGCAAAATTAAACATCACCAATCACCTATAAACACAAAATCTAACATAAAATGTTTACATATAAAGCGTCTCCATTGATTTCTATGTTATGCGGCACTACGCGGCGTGTTCAATCAAAACATTTGTAGAATTAAATCAAATCGTTACGGCGCCATTCATGCTTGTGTTCTCCAATCAATTCTACTATTGACCGTCTGTCGTTATACATTGACAATTGATCTTGAGAAATGCAAATAAAAACATCTATTGTTAACGCGCAAACGAAATTCAAAAGCATTTATTTCAATTAAACCATAATTTGGTCCTTTTAAAACGTCAACATATTATTATATAAAATAAATAATAATCTGTCAGTCTGTCCGTTATGAAGCTAGGCGCTCGTTCCAAAATGTAGAAGAACGAGTAACAAATTTTTATCGTTACTCTTTTAAAAAAGTCTATTTTACAATGTCTCTGATACATATTCCAATATTGTACATATATGTGAGAACAATGTAACGACACGCTTGACGCATAATACAAATTACAGAAGTTACTGAAATGAAAAACAAAAAAAAAATAGAAAAGTAATATCTTATTTTTAAAGCAGTATTGGGACAATAGTAGGAGAAATGATAGGAGAATTCTCTTGTATATCTTTTGATAACATTGGGGAGTGAGTTAACGAAAATCGATCTACTGCTACTATTTGACAAGCTAAAGTTAACTACGATATCACCACAAACTCTAAATCTACAAGCAAATAAACTACATATTGTGACCACAGCACACATAAAATAGTTTTGACTGTCAACTGAGTGGAAAAGTGCGGAAATAGAACTTAAAACACAGTTACAAAACCTAAATTATAAAAATGTACTGCTATAATGTTAATCTTATTACAGTGCATTTAATAAAACCCACTTAACAGTCAAGTCTTTTTAGAACAGTGGTGAATAAACTACGGTTCTTAGTTCAATACCGAAACCCCGGAATGTAAAGGAATACTGTGTACCACTCGAAATGCTGATCACGACTATAAGCCCCTTGCTGTGCTTGAAATTTGTCGATTTACTTTATTAAAAACGTATGTAAGTACGCCATAGAATATTCTAGGTAAATTTTGCAATCTTTTAAACTCCTTAAAAAGATAAGTTTGTCCACCACAGTTCTAGAACATAGTTACTTCCACCACCGAACATCCCACGAAGACCAGACCCTTGTCCAGCATACCCTATAAAGAAAACTATCTACTACCTATCACCGGACCTGTCGCCAGTGCTCTGTTTGCGCTGCCTGTCGAAGAATGGTACGGAGCCGTTCTTGGGTAGACCGGGCGCGTGCGCACTGAACGCGGGTGAGGACACGTTACGGGACATCAACTGCTGTTGCGGGTTCACTGTTACGTTGCCGTTTTCGCCCTGAAAAAGGAATAAAAATAGTTAAGTCAAAGTTTTATAGGAAAAGGAAGAACCTATAAAAAAAAATTTTTTAAAGTTAAAGTATAATTATATCTATGGGTGTATCCTCATCTCGCAAATGCGCTGCGAATTTGCCGCTCGCGAGCCGTTTTCGGGCTGCCCGCGAGCTCCGCGCATGCAGTCTCGACAATGGTTTGGTGCTCAACTCATACGGGGTTCGTATAAATAATAATTTTAAATGCACGCGTGCAGCTCGCGGGCGGTTCGCGAGCTGCGCATTCGCCTGATGTGGACGCACCCTATCAACTAAATGGTGTACAGACACTTTTGAAACCTCATGTAAATGTCTATTAATGAATCTTTTAGCTTTTTCTAAAACGTGGTATTGCATGCTGTAAGGAAAAGAATGAGTAACAACTCTCTTGTTTATATTTATTGTTCGATTTTAGGTCCATGTTAAGAGTGAAAACTTTCACTCTTGAGAGTGTGATTAGGTTCATTGGATTGCTCTGATCATTTTGTTTTTCTCTTTGTATATTTATTTAAAAGACAACCAATATATTGTCAGTTAATCCTTAACGATAGAATAATTTTTATTATACGTTGTTGGATATAAAATACAGATTAAGGGTTATAAATAAAGACCTAATTCTAATTTATCACATGTTTTTTATGAATGATATATTGGCTACATAGGTATGTTTGACAAAAATTCCCCAATAGCACTTATCATACAAACATTTATCATTCGGTTGGAGAATTCGAGTCACGTGCGTATTGAATTTATTTTAATCAGAATAACACCTACACATTAATGGACAATGTGATTGTTTGTAATTTGACTCACGGTCTACATATAATGTTTTATTATTTATAGGTATTATTATGTACATACATACATAACATCACATGCCTTTTATCCCCGTAGGGATAACATAGTTG